CTATAGACTAGACTATAGACTAGACTATAGACTAGACTATAGACTAGACTATAGACTAGACTATAGACTAGACTATAGACTAGACTATAGACTAGACTATAGACTAGACTATAGACTAGACTATAGACTAGACTATAGACTAGACTATAGACTAGACTATAGACTAGACTATAGACTAGACTATAGACTAGACTATAGACTAGACTATAGACTAGACTATAGACTAGACTATAGACTAGACTCTAGACTAGACTATAGACTAGACTATAGACTAGACTATAGACTAGACTATAGACTAGACTATAGACTAGACTATAGACTAGACTATAGACTAGACTATAGACTAGACTATAGACTAGACTATAGACTAGACTATAGACTAGACTATAGACTAGACTATAGACTAGACTATAGACTAGACTAGACTAGACTATAGACTAGACTATAGACTAGACTATAGACTAGACTATAGACTAGACTATAGACTAGACTATAGACTAGACTATAGACTAGACTATAGACTAGACTATAGACTAGACTATAGACTAGACTATAGACTAGACTATAGACTAGATAGACTAGACTATAGACTAGAATATAGACTAGACTATAGACTAGACTATAGACAAGACTTTAGACTAGACTATAGACTAGACTATAGACTAGACTATAGACAAGACTTTAGACTAGACTATAGACTAGACTATAGACTATACTATAGACTAGACTATAGACTAGACTATAGACTAGACTATAGACTAGACTATAGACTAGACTATAGACTAGACTATAGACTAGACTATAGACTAGACTATAGACTAGACTATAGACTAGACTATAGACTAGACTATAGACTAGACTATAGACTAGACTATAGACTAGACTATAGATTAGACTATAGACTAGACTATAGACTAGACTATAGATTAGACTATAGACTAGACTATAGACTAGACTATAGACTAGACTATAGACTAGACTATAGACTAGACTATAGACTAGACTATAGACTATAGACTAGACTATAGACTAGACTATAGACTAGACTATAGACTAGACTATAGACTAGACTATAGACTAGACTATAGACTAGACTATAGACTAGACTATAGACTAGACTATAGACTAGACTATAGACTAGACTATAGACTAGACTATAGATAGACTATAGACTAGACTATAGACTAGACTATAGACTAGACTATAGACTAGACTATAGACTAGAGATAGACTAGACTATAGACTAGACTATAGACTAGACTAGACTAGACTATAGACTAGACTATAGACTAGACTATAGACTACACTATAGACTACACTATAGACTAGACTATAGACTAGACTATGACTAGACTAGACTAGACTATAGACTAGACTATAGACTAGACTATAGACTAGACTATAGACTAGACTATAGACTAGACTATAGACTAGACTATAGACTAGACTATAGACTAGATATAGACTAGACTATAGACTAGACTATAGATTAGACTATAGACTAGACTATAGACTAGACTATAGACTAGACTATAGACTAGACTATAGACTAGACTATAGACTAGACTATAGACTAGACTATAGACTAGACTCTAGACTAGACTATAGACTAGACTCTAGACTAGACTATAGACTAGACTATAGACTAGACTATAGACTAGACTATAGACTAGACTATAGACTAGACTATAGACTAGACTATAGACTAGACTATAGACTAGACTATAGACTAGACTATAGACTAGACTATAGACTACTAGACTAGACTATAGACTAGACTATAGACTAGACTATAGACTAGACTATAGACTAGACTATAGACTAGAATATAGACTAGACTATAGACTAGACTATAGACAAGACTTTAGACTAGACTATAGACTAGACTATAGACTAGACTATAGACAAGACTTTAGACTAGACTATAGACTAGACTATAGACTATACTATAGACTAGACTATAGACTAGACTATAGACTAGACTATAGACTAGACTATAGACTAGACTATAGACTAGACTATAGACTAGACTATAGACTAGACTATAGACTAGACTATAGACTAGACTATAGACTAGACTATAGACTAGACTATAGACTAGACTATAGACTAGACTATAGACTAGACTATAGACTAGACTATAGACTAGACTATAGACTAGACTATAGACTAGACTATAGATTAGACTATAGACTAGACTATAGACTAGACTATAGATTAGACTATAGACTAGACTATAGATTAGACTATAGACTAGACTATAGACTAGACTATAGACTAGACTATAGACTAGACTATAGACTAGACTATAGACTAGACTATAGACTAGACTATAGACTAGACTATAGACTAGACTATAGACTAGACTATAGACTAGACTATAGACTAGACTATAGACTAGACTATAGACTAGACTATAGACTAGACTATAGACTAGACTATAGACTAGACTATAGACTATGACTAGACTATAGACTAGACTATAGACTGACTATAGACTAGACTATAGACTAGACTATAGACTAGACTATAGACTAGACTATAGACTAGACTATAGACTAGACTATAGACTAGACTATAGACTAGACTATAGACTAGACTATAGACTAGACTATAGACTAGACTATAGACTAGACTATAGACTAGACTATAGACTAGACTATAGACTAGACTATAGACTAGACTATAGACTAGACTATAGACTAGACTATAGACTAGACTATAGACTAGACTATAGACTAGACTATAGACTAGACTATAGACGACTATAGACTAGACTATAGACTAGACTATAGACTAGACTATAGACTAGACTATAGACTAGACTATAGACTAGAATATAGACTAGACTATAGACTAGACTATAGACTAGACTATAGACTAGACTATAGACTAGACTATAGACTAGACTATAGACTAGACTACAGACTATACTATGGACTAGACTATAGACTAGACTATAGACAAGACTTTAGACTAGACTATAGACTAGACTATAGACTATACTATAGACTAGACTATAGACTATACTATAGACTAGACTATAGACTAGACTATAGACTAGACTATAGACTAGGCTATAGACTAGACTATAGACTAGACTATAGACTAGACTATAGACTAGACTATAGACTAGACTATAGACTAGACTATAGACTAGACTATAGACTAGACTATAGACTAGACTATAGACTAGACTATAGACTAGACTATAGACTAGACTATAGACTAGACTATAGACTAGACTATAGACTAGACTATAGACTAGACTATAGACTAGACTATAGACTAGACTATAGACTAGACTATAGACTAGACTATAGACTAGACTATAGACTAGACTATAGACTAGACTATAGACTAGACTATAGACTAGACTATAGACTAGACTATAGACTAGACTATAGACTAGACTTTAGAGACTAGACTAGACTATAGACTAGACTATAGACTAGACTATAGACTAGACTATAGACTAGACTATAGACTAGACTATAGACTAGACTATAGACTAGACTATAGACTAGGACTATAGACTAGACTATAGACTAGCCTATAGACTAGACTATAGACTAGACTATAGACTAGACTATAGACTAGACTAGTCTAGAGTGTAGCTAAATAGTCAATCTGTCATTGTTTTTTGGAGTAAAAATATCAGAACAATCTTAATTTTTTTGGTGCACTAACTTTGGACCTATAGAGGTTTTAGTGGAGATACAAACTTCAGAGTATTTAGGATTCTTGTGATGTACTGACTGTAAAGCAATTGCGTTTATTTCGGAAGCACAAGCTCCATAGCATTCATAATTCTTTCAGAACATAAACTTCAGAGTACTCTTGGTTCTTTTGAAGTAGATACATTAGGGCTATTATGACGCAACAATGGTAATTCATTTAGAGGAATCGTGGTTCTTTCATATTGGACTGCGGCTGATTTATCGTTGGCAACATCAATAAGCAATTCAAGTTTGTCCGCGCTTCAACTTCGGTATCATATTCACTCAGGTTCAGGTTCGTTTATCATCACCGCCCTTATACTCTTCATCATATGTATATATCTTAGTCAGTGACTTCACCATTAAAAGTACCTTCTAGTTCGTCGTCTTCGTTGTCAGCTTCAGTTTTTTTTTTTCATTAGCATTCACTTTTTCTTCTTTATCTTTATGGGATACTTTATCGGCACCAACGTCTTCATTGACTTTTTATTATCATTGACAACTTCACTGTCATCTCTTTCTACATTTCGTTCGGTTTCTCCAGCATCATCGGTTTTGTCATCATCTTATTCCTTTAGTAGACTTCCTCTTTGGGTTCTTCATTTGTACCATTCGATTTTTTGAATACAGAAGTTTCTGAGCATTCCGATGATTAGTTTCATAAGGCTCCTCGGAGACTGGTGAAGACCTACATTTATTCGAACCATCATGATCAAAATTTTCTGAATCTTATTGTAACAACGAAACCTTTTAAAAAGATTTTATTTTTTAAAAGTGGTTTTTTTCGAGAGTTTCAGAATACTGAAAATATACGAATTTGTCATAGCTATTCAAGTTTGCAAACCAATTAAATTTAGACACGTCTATCAACAGATAACTGATCAAATACAATATTTCCCGTACTTTCGTTATAAATTAACAGCAACAAATATTTAATTAATATAAACGTCATAATCAAATACAGATAGATAAATAAACATAAACAAAGTTAGAACAAGTCACTTTATTGTTACTCTATGGAAACTAATAATGAAAACGAATAAATATCGGGGTTTCAAATGAAATGACAAATTTAAAACACTCTCCGCACACTATTTTAAGAACCACATAGACCAAACAAACAATTTTTAATTTAAAATATATTTGGAATAAAACTAAAAATGTACATTCCACTTGTGTCAATATTATTGATTTAAGCAAATAATTTTTAAAATAACTATGAAAATAATATTAAAACAAAATGGTTTTTTATCTAAATTAGAGTATAAATATAGGAAATTTTGTCAAAAACTTAGTAGTTTTTAATTTGAATTTAGCTCGCGGCAAACTTTGGATTAACTAGAAGAAAAATATGCGCTTTATAGCAGTTCTCCTAATTTTAGGATTTGTATCCTATAACGTTTCGGCTAAACCCTATAGCTTTGAGGTCGATGTGGATCAACCCGAATCATATTCTCTATCTCAAGAATCTGAAGATGTTGAAAATATAAGTGATGTTTCCGAGGGAGTTTCAGAAGAATTGGAATCGGAATCTTTGGAAAGAAGAAAGCGCAGTGCTTCATCAGAATCTGAGGAGTCTTCCGAATCTTCAGAATCGTCTGAGTCACATGAAAGAAGAAAGCGCAGTGCTTCATCAGAATCCGAAGAATCGTCTGAATCAAAATCTTCAGAGTCCTCAGAATCGTCTGAATCTAACGAATCTAAAGTTAAGGATGAAGAGCCCAAAGAAGAAGAAGAAGAAGTCGAGAATGAAGATGAAAGTGATGACAAAGTCGAAGATGATGAAGAAACCAATGCTGATGTAGAAGATGATGAGGATGAAGAAACTAACGCAGAAGAAGATGAAACTGATGATGAGCCAGAAGCTGGTGACGTTGATGCTGATGTAGAAGATGATGATGATGAACAAACCAACGCTGAAGAAGATGAAACAGATGATGATGATGATGATGATGATGAACCAGAAGCTGGCGACGTTGATGAAGAGGAACTTGAAATAGAAGGAGCTGTAGATGATAAACCATCTGAAGATGGTGCTGCCGTTGATGATGAACCCACAGTTGGAAACGAAGATGATGATGATGAACCATTCTCCAAAACTGAAGTTGATGGTCCTGAAGCTGAATCACTCGAAGAAGATGCCGCTGCCATTGATGACGAACCCACAGTTGGAAATGTTGCTGTTGATGATGAACCCTCCTCCGAAATTGCAGTCGATGGTGCTGAAGCTGAATCACTCGAAGATGATGCCGCTGCCGTTGATGACGAACCCACAGTTGGAAATGTAGCTGTTGATGATGAACCCTCCTCCGAAATTGCAGTCGATGGTGCTGAAGATGATGGTGCTGCCGTCGATGACGAACCCACAGTAGGAAACGTAGCTGTCGATGGTGCTGAAGCTGAATTAGAAGATAGTGCTGCTGTTGATGACGAACCCACAGTTGGAAATGTAGCTGTTGATGACGAACCCTCCTCCGAAATTGCAGTCGATGGTGCTGAAGCTGAATCGCTTTCAGAAGATAAAGCTGCCGTTGATGACGAACCTACAGTCGAAGCCCTCAACAACAAACCAGTCTCAAAAGTCGGACTACCCATCGTTGAAGCTTTTCGCCATTTCTTAGGGAAATATGTTTTGTAAGGAAAACGGTTTCATTAAATAAGAAATCTAGTTTAGATTTCTTAAGTTTAAAGAAATCTAGTTTTAAATGACCAATAAAGTAAAAATAAGTTTTTAATATAAAAGAAAATTTTGTTCAGAAAGTTATCATAAAAAATTACCCAAATAGTTCCTACTATATGACTTTTTCGTTCTATTCATTACCAGCTTTAATTTTTCTTTGCAAAGTAAACAAATGTCTGAAAAAGTCAAATATTGGAATCATTAGTAGACACGTAGAATTTCTCATCTTTGATTTTATACTGTAAATAAATTCATTTGACTTAACTAAATTTTAGCCAGACACATGGTCATTTATAAAAATTGGTAAAACGTGCAATTATATGCTGAAAATACATTTTGTCATACAACTAAATCCGAAAGGCTAAATAAATTATATACCCAGTA